TGCTGATACTGACCTGAAAGTTGGTGGGTACAGAGACCCTGGAGAAGGTGATGCAGGGTAGATGGCAGAACCCTGCCATGGGAAGAAAGTGAAGGAGAGCACTGTTGGAAAGGGAGGTGGAAAGACACTGAATAAAGGTGGGTGTTTTCCTATCTTCCCTAAGGCTGACTTCTGGTAGATTAAATCACCTCCTCAAACTGATAAGGGAAAAGTGAACCAAGAGTTACTCTCTCTAGGTCTTTCTGTAGCTCTCTGAGGTTACATGAATTGATATTCGAAGATCTCAAAGGATTCTAATACCCCCAGAACCTTCTCTAGTTTGTCAGTTATCTTGTTTGTGTGCTGGGTTCACTCCTTTGATTGGGCACTGTCCTGGGTACTGGTAAAAGAGCAGTGAATATAATACGCATAGCTCTCACCCCTCAAAACCCACAGCCTTGGGAGGAAGGAATGCTAAGCAGACACCTCCCAAACAAGTTATTGATGACAACCTTGGTAAGCAATGTGAAAGAAAGGTACTGGGAGCTAGGAAAGAATCCACAGGGGTCTAAACAGCCTGGAAGGTGGTGTGGGATTAGGGGATCTGTAGGGTGAACACTAAAGCTTTTATGCATAATTATATGCTCAGATGTATGGAGTCAGGGACAGATATTTTTCTTTGCATTATATAGGTAAATATAATGGATTGAAACCTTTAAAATACCATATTAAAATCTATTCTCATTCTTTATGTGAATTAACTTTTGTATATTTCAACAGAAGCTGAGACTAATGATGGAACCCTCCTATAAGCTGGGAAGGAGCCTGTGGTCATTAGGGTGGAGGGAGAGGGCGTGTGGTAGCCCCCACATTACGGGGTCTTTTTTAGATGCAGGACTCCCCTGGATTCTGTGGGTGCCGGGATACACACTGACAAGTGCTGTGCCCTGCAGCAGGGGCTGGAAGCTCAGCACTCTTGTGAGTTCATTAGAACCCCTGAAGAACCCCGGTTGGTATAGATTTAGTTTAAAGAGTAAGTTTTCTTTGACTTGGAGCTCAGTGGCCAGCTTACTTAGGGCAGAGATGAAGGAGAGGGCTACTTGAAGCTACTGAGTGCTTTTGCTCGTGTCTGAGCAGCATTAAGATGAAGTCTGGAGGAGCTAAGAGCAGGACACAGGCAAGGTTCAACAGCCTTCCGAGGTACAGGAAGGTGGGCGATGAGGACTAAGGCTGACTGACTAGGTTTAACGTTTTTTGTTCCAACTACAGGAGTGGAAGGGTGGAGGGCAGACGCTGGTGAGGGGACACTGAGGTGGCCTGACTTGATCTTGGAGTTTCAGTGAGAAGCACTGTCTTCGTGTGAGAAGCAAAAGGAGGCCTGGGAGAGACTGGGTACTTGCCACACTGCCTTTCTAACTCTGGTTTTACTCCTGGCGTTTCCTTGAACTTTACCGGGGGTATGGGAACACATGTTCAGAAAGGTAAGTCACTTGGCCCCGCAGAGATGACGTTCCATGGTCACAGCTGTGGGGTGTTTGCACCTGGAATGTCCTCGTGAAGTAAACAGTTCTCCACCTGTGCAACCTGTGGTCTCAGGACAGACATTCCTCCGCGACCCTGAACATGTTTTCATCAGTTACCTGGCAGTGGTTTGAGCGCATCGGGTGGTAGGAATCAGGAAGCACAGGGGTCAGCTGGGAAAAATGGGTGTTTGTCCCGTGACTGACAATGGCGACTTTGAGGTGAGCCATTCGCTTGGAAGACCGGCGTTTACCTGCTGCCAGGGCGTGCCGGGCACGTGTGCTCTGGAAGCCTTTGTGCATAAACAGTAGCCCACGGCAGTGAGGAGCAGCCTGCAGAAACCGACAGCAGGGCTCAGGTCGTGTATGCTGCATGCTGTGTCCTGGTCTCATTTGATTATAGTATTATTATCCTTCTTTTGCATATGAGGAGACTGAGGCCTCGCACTGGTAGGTGGCGGGGTAAGGATGCCACCTCAGGACTGCCTGACATCCAAGTCTTTGTCTCTTTCCTCCAACCCATGTTATGCTGTTATCAGTATGAAGATGCTTGGGACGTAAAACATGAGTAGGTTCTGAAACCTTCCATGTGACACGAGCTCCATTTGTTGTTCCTTTGTCGGTAAGCAAACTTCGCCTCGTTGTGTGAGTCCACTGGCAGTCTTGGTGGTCTTGGCGGTCTGGGAGTGCTGTCTGCATCTTCTGGCTGGACGTAGGGTGGAAGGACCTATGCAGGTGAGACCGGATCACCTCCCATCCCCCCTGCCCTCCACCTACATCTGCACCTGAACCCTCTGCCCCGTGCAGCTTTCTCAGAGCCACGTCCTTCAACCCAGGGAGAAGCAAGCCTGAGCCTGTGGACTGATCCAGGCTTGGCAGGGGGGGTGCCCCCTGCATACCCACCCACAGGGCTCATGCACACTCTCACACACACCTCTGGCACACGCCTTGTTCTTCCCAAAAAGGACACTTTTCATTTGCCAGGTGTCCACACTACCCGGATGTTTTGTATAACATCATGGTTTCTCCAGAGTGTTCATCCTTTTCCAGTTAGGTGACACATCACAGTAACCTCCAGTTCCTTTCCCCAGATGAAGACACCCCACCAGACCCAGTGCATGATCTCTCAGGGCTCCTCCAGCGTCTGAGTTCTGGCCTGACCCTGGGCAGGGCTTCTTGGCAGGCAGAGCCATTTCAGTAGGAGATCCTGTCCTTTGGATTCTCCAGCTTCCCTTGAGCCCCACTTGGGACAACTCAGGACTCTCCCCTTCACTGGTCAGCACCTGCAAGAGGCAGGAACCACATAGATCTCATCCGTCACTGCATCCCAGTGCCTCAGAAGCACCCGCCCGTTCTGGGTGCACAGTCAGCTTGAGCATAGACGCCATGTCTGTTCTGCTACCTTGGGCAAGGATAAACCACCTAATATTAGAAATGTTCTCTGCTAGGTGCAGTGGCTCACACCTGTAATCCCAAGCACTTTGGGAGGCTGAAGTAAGCAGATTGCTTGAGCTCAGGAGTTCAAGACCAGCCTGGCCAACATGGCAAAATCCCGTCTCTACAAAAGTTAGCCGAGTATGGTGGTGCAGGCCTGTGGTCCCAGCTATTTAGGGGCTAAGGCAGGAGAATCTCTTGAGTGCAGGAAGTTAGGCTGCAGTGAGCTAAAAATGTTCTCATCTCCAAAATGGGAATACTAAGGGTTCCTGGGATTCAATGAGATAATTCTGATGATACTTGCATGCTTGAGGAATTTGCAGTTGTCATAGTTACCTCCAAATTCAGGCAAGGGAAAACTCTTGCACTGAGTTAGAGCTCAGTGGCAGCCTCAGGAGATGGCACCTAGGGGAACAAATGGCAAATTTGAGGCCACTCTCACCATCTTCACTCTTCCCTTTACACCTTATGTTTTCCTTCTCCATTGAATACTCTGGTAGCTACCTCCTTTAAAGGACACTTGGGGATCAGAGGGTTGCTGACTGACTTACATATTGGAGGGTAGGGGGATTGAGAGGGTGACCTTTGGAACACCTGGGCCTTTGGGTTGGGCCACCAGCCTAGAACTATTATCATTTTGCTGTTTAATAGCACTGTTTGTTACTTTGACAGTGAACACAGATAATGAAAGCAAGGCTGTTCTTTGAAGCCTAAAACAGTGGTAATGGATTTGAAAACTACTGTTTCTGTCCAACGCTCATTTTGTATATAATGATAGCATGATCATCAGTCAAATTTGGTGAGGTTCCAAGCGTTTTCGGCAGAGCTGACAAAAGACTAGACATTTTTTTCAAGCCAAATTGTATGAACATTAGTGCCAGAGCTGGTGAAACTTTGTTCAGCTTTTAAGGGTTTGGCTGGTAGGGAGGATGAACATTGGAAGAAATCTAAATATTAGAGCCAACTCAGGCACAGACCCACGACTCTTTTTCTCTGTTCATATTTTCTTTGCATTTCCCCCATCACTTCCCATTCCATGCCGTGTACAAGTGCTAATATGAATTGGTTAGATATTCAAGCCCCCGTTTTTAAGGGGGATTGAGGATTCATCGTACCTAGCAGTAAGAAATAGCTTTCTAAATAAATGTTGTGACAGCCTGTGGAGTTAGAGCACACTGTAACTATGGAGTCAGTTATGGAAGGCAGGGACACCATTAGTTCAGTATTCTGTAGCAGGAATATTGGCCAGTAATCATGTATTTGATTTCTATAAAGTATGAGGGATTTTTTAAATTCAGGAAGCAGCTGAATTTACATGGATGAAATGATCATCGTGTCTGGGATGATTTGCTTAGAAATCACGGCATAGGAGTGGGATGAAGTGTGGGTATAAGGATGAAGCAAGAGTAGCCATATGTTGAGTTCATTTTATGTTCTTCATATTTTTGTATCTGTTTTAAATTTTTCATTGCATTCAAAAAAGAAACTCAATGTAAATAAATGATGTTATAGCATATATCAAAATATTAGGTAGCCATTAAAATAACACATGAAGAATTTTAATAATGTGGTATAAGTAAGAAAATCAGGCAGTCAAGCTTTCTAATATGATATGTGTGTGCATGTGGACAAAATATTTGCATAAAAAATGACTGGAAGGAAATGGAAACATTAACTGTGGTTATCCTTGGTTGGTTGGATTGTGGGTGATTTTCATTCTATTTTCCAAACTTCCTGTAGTAAACAAGAGAAAAAATCATTTCTTATAATTTGAGAAAAACCTTTTTGAAAGAAACTAATCTACATTGCGTAAATTAGTGAAGCATTTGTTTCAGTGATCTGTTTTCCATTAAATCACCCCAGTCAGTGATTAAACGCTTGTGCTGTTACCGATCTTGTGGCTGTGGACATGGTTTTGGCCTGTACTGTGCTGCACTCTGCCCTGGACTGTCTTTGCTGGGGTGTATGCAGGCCAGATCATGGCAAATGCAGTCACCAACACCATTTCGCTCATTGGTAACTTCTACTAACCACGTTCCTTTAGCGTGAATTTCCATCTAATTTCAGGGAGCTCGACATGATTTCCACAAGGGTGATGGACATTAAACTTCGGGAGGCTGCAGAAGGCCTTGGGGAGGACAGTACAGGTAAGGCCCTGCTTCCTCTGCTCTGGGGAGGATACTTGCTTTGTTGTGGGGCAGGGAGAGGGGCTGACGGAGGCAGACCTTTGGGGCTCTCTGTATGAAAAGTGGGGGTTCAGTTCCCAGTGTGGTCAGATACCCTTAGGCCCTCCACACTGTGACTGAGAGCACAGACACATTATTTAAAGCTGTTCAGGACAGAGTTCCTCTGCTTCTCTGTCAAGCACAGGGACTTTCCGGTTCATTTTCCTCCTTCCTGGAGGTAACCAGTCCCCATGTTTGGTTGACTTGAATGCAAAGGAAGAGGCACTAAATGGATTCATTTACCGTCTAAGAAGATCCAAAGAAATCTGTAGGAGGCTGAGCAAAGTACCTGACAGCCTGATCGTCTGTAAGAAAAATAATTACATCAAGAGAGAGCCTTTGATCCCTCTCTTTTATGACTTTTATTCTGAAGGAGACCTTTAGTATGTTTTCTGCTGAGCTAAATTCTAGGCCATAAATCATCATCTCATAAGACATTCTAAGAGTTCTCCAGTTATGCGATTGGTTTACTGTTATCCACATATTGCTATTTATGTCCTGATAGAGTTGTAAAATTGACATTAAAAATTAATCTCCCCACAATGTGCTTTTTACCTAGGTTAGCCATTCATAGCCTCCCCTTATTTTGGTGACCACAGTCTCCATCTCTCTCTTATTTACATTCAAAATGCTAGTAGTGATTGTCTTTGATATAGTTCAGGAGAAACAGTTCCCAATAATATTAAATCCTAGCTGCTAGCCACTAGGTTCGGATTCTAATTTCAGTAAAGACTCCATTTCAAATATTATGGATAGATTTTTTTCTTATTATTTCATGTTAGAATCATTTTTTCCTCTGTCACATTTCAATGGATACCAAATAAATCCCAATTTAAAATGAGGGTTTTTAGATGAGCCCTGAAAAAAATGGAGTTTCAAATTTTCTCATATTATGGGACACTGTTTATTACTTATTTTAAACAAGAAATGTTTGAATAAATATTTCATCAGCCCGAAATAACCTCCTTAAATGCTAGCTCTGAATACATACAGAGGTTACTGAAGAAAAGAGACTAAGTTTTCTTTTTTCAAATAGTGAGCTTAAGTTATTTAGACCAACCCTCTTCCACTGAAAATTTAAAATTCTAGATAAGAATATTCTTTAAAATGTTTTTCATAGTAAGAAATAATAAAGACCAGAATTGAAACAAAAATGGGCCAGGCACAGTGGCTCCCACTGTAATCCCAGCACTCTGGGAGTCCAAGGTAGAAGATTACTTGAGCCCAGGAGTTCAAGAACGGTTTGGGCATAGTGAGACCCTGTCTCTACAAAAAATTTTTAAAATTAGCTGGATATGGTGGCACAAACCTGTAGTCCCAGGAGGTTAATGCTACAGTGGGCCGTGATTACACTGCTATACTCCAGCCTGGGCAACAAGGAAGACCCTGCCTCAGGAAAAAAAAATTAATATGAAAGTAAATTTTTGTAAATGTTATTTTCCCACTGCTTGTCAATCCTAGTTCCCCATCTGAGTTGCTTGGAATGAATACTTGGTTTCTCAGGAAAAAAAAAAAAAAAAAGAAAAAAGGAAAGGAAAATGGTAACCTGGGGAGACAACAGAGTCTAAAAGCCACTTTTGACCTTAGATCATTTACTGGTCTTGGAAATTATCAATCCTGGAAATTTTCATGTCTTCATGGGTTGGAAGGTGAGAGTGAGGAGGGTCAATTATCGAAGTACAAGGCCTGTATAAGGTAGACTGTCTCATAGAAGACACTCTCTGCAATAAAGGGGAGCCAAGGAGTTGCAAAATCTGAGCAGGTGTGAACTAGGGGTAAACCAATCCTTGTGTAGATTTGTAGCTTGAGTTTGCATCATTTGGGTAATTCAGAGAACCTCAACCCTTGAACTTGATTAATATTGCTTCTGCACTAGATGTAAACCCAGGTACTTTGCAGAAGCAAATAATATTCACTAAAGGAAGGCGCCTTCCATTTAGACTTCAAATTATTTCAGAAAATGATATTTTCAGTATCATGACAAGCATCTAGTCAGTGATCATCAGGCATCTAAGGCAACAGGATATTATGAATGAGAACCAACATGCCATTGGTTGAATTGTGCTCCCACCAAATTCATATGTGAAGTCTCCAGTATCTCCAAATGTGGCTTTATTTGAAGGCTGAGTTCTTGCAGATGTGATTCATTAAGATGAGATCATACTGGAGTAGGGTGGGCTCCTATTCCAATATGACGGTGTCCTTATGAAAAGGGGAACTGTGTACGTAGGTATGCACACAAGGAGAACGCCATGCACACATGCAGACAGACACAAGAAACAGACACATGAAGGCATAAATATCAGAATCACCAAATACTTCCTATACAACAACCATGCATGCTATGTTTGAAGATCATAAAAATGTTTTAAAATATCTGGAAATTCCAGGGAACTATAAAAAAGTGCCGTATCACCCGGCCAGTGCAATAAAGCAAGAGAAAGGAATAAAAGGCAGACAGATGGAAGAAAGAAATAAAACTGTCTCTATTTACAGATGACATGATTATGGGGACAACATACACAAAAAAGCACTCAGAACTCTTACACAAATATAGCAAGATTGCAAGATACAGGTCAATATATTTAGAATCAATTGGATTTCTGTATGCCAACAATGAATGATTGAAAAATGGAAATTTTAAAAGTACCAAAAAATTGAAATATTTAGGCGTCTATTTAGTAAAATATATGCAGGATCCACATTCTGGAAAATACTAATAATTGTTTAAAGAAATTAGCAAAGACCTAACTACATGAGGAGAGATAGTATGTTTATAGATTGGAGGACTCAGTGTTGCTGTCAGTTCTCCCCAAACTGAGCTACAAAATTGTGTGTTAGTATATGTAGTTACAGTACACTCTTTAAAAGTCAGTTATGGAAGGCAGACCTACAATTAGCTCAATATTCTGTAGCAGGAATACTGACAAGTAATAATTTGTTTGATTTTCATGAAGAGTCAGAGATTTTTTTCCTTTAGGAAAAGCCAAGTTCCTATAGATTAATAATAATAGTGTCTGGGATGATTTTTTTGAAATAACCCTCAGAAATGGGGAGGAGGAGGCATAAAGATGAAGCAGTCAAAATCCCAGCAGGACTTTTTGCAGATATTGGCAAGCTGATTTGAAAATCTGTGTGAAAAAGCAAAGAACTAGAATAGATAAAACAATTTTGAAAAAGAGTAAAATTGAAAGTTTCGTACTACCTGTTTTTAAGAGTTACTATAAAGCTGCAGTAATCAAGACAGTATGGTATTGGCAAAAGGACAGATGCACAGAGACAGAAGGGAATAGAGTTCAAACAGACCCATACAAATATGGTTAACTGATTTTGACAAAACTGTAAAGGCAATTCATTGGAGAAAGTTTAGTATTTCAACAAATGGTGCTGGAACAATTGGACATTCACATGTAAATATACCTCACAGATTATACAAAAAACTCAAAGTGTGTCATAAACTTAAATGTAAAACTCTAACATGTTTAAAAGAAAGCATAGGAGAAGATATTTATGACCCAGGATTAGGCAAGGGTTCTTAGATATGATACCTGAATCCATAAAAGGAAAAAATTTATAAATTGGACTTCATCAAAACTTTAAAATATGTTGTGTGATGGCTCACGCCTGTAATCCAAGCACTTTGGAGACCAAGGCGGGCAGATCACCTGAGGTCAGGAGTTCAAGACCAGCCCAACCAACATGGCGAAACCTCGTCTTAAAAAATATATATATATAAATATATATATATGTATATATATACATATATGTTGTGTGAAATACACTTTTAAGAAAATGAAAAGACAAGTCACAGACCAGGAGAAAATATTTATAAATCACACTTGATAAAGGACTTACATCCCGGACTTAAGTCCACACTTGATTAAAGACTTACATCATGTATTTAGAAAAAATAGGAAAACAAATAACCCAGTTACAAAATGAACATCAAATTTTAAATGATGCTTTACCTAAGAAGATGTACAGATGGAAAATAAGCACATGAAGAAATGCTCAATATTTATAATCATTAGGTAATGCAAAGTAAAACTACAATGAAATACCATGACCCACCTATTAAATGTCTGGAGAAAACCATCATAACAACAGGAGCCGGTCAGTGTGCATTGAAGGGAGGAATCCAAAATGGTACAGCCACTTTGGAAAAACATTTTGGCAGCTTCTTGTGAAGTTAAACATACGCTTAGCCTATGACTCAGCAATCCAAATCCTAGGTATTTACTTGGCAGTAAAAACTTAGGTTTACACACGCACACACACATACACACAAACTATAGCAACTTTATTTATAATTGCTAAAAACTGAAAAGAACCCAGATTGAAATGGGTTCAGGTTAAAATGGTTCAACACACTGGTATATCCACACAATCTCAACAACAGAAAGGAACAAACTATTGATTGGTATAACATGAGTGAATCTCTAATGTGTTGTGCTGAATGAAAGAAGCCAGAATGAAAAGGGGACGTACTGTGTGACTTAACCTATATGACATTCTAGAAAAGGCAAAACTATAGAAACAGAGAAGTTATAAGTGGTTGCCCGGGGTTAATGATATTGGAGAAGGTTGGACTACAAAAGGGCAGCATGAGGACAGTTCTGTATCTTGATTGCAGTGATAATTATACAACTCTATGTACACCAAAAAGAATGAATTTTACTGTGTGTAATTTTAACAATAAGTGTTTTTACAAGATATGGCAGATTTGAAAAACAAAGGATTTTTTAGAAATAAATGCAATAATTAAAATTTTATTTTAAATTAAATTTATTTAAAATAAATGTAATAATTAAAATGCTTGGATATAATAGCAGACTATATCAGATTAAGATCGATCACAAGAAATTATACAAAACGTACCATAGAATGGCAAAAGGATGGAAAATACAGAAAAGAGAACAAGGGGCATAGAGGGTAAGTGAAAGGATGTAACATCCATTTGAGCACAGTCTCAGGAGAGGAGAGAAGGGCTGAGAATTTTCTGGATTTTATCAGAAAGATGACCCAACTCATAGGTTTAAGAAACCCAATGAATCCCAAGAAGGATAAATCAAAGAAAATCCATACGAAATAAAACTGCAGAAAACCAGAGGATAAATAATCTTATGAGTCTGAGAGAAAGAGACAGATTACCTGGAAAAGAGCAAAAAAGTATTTAATGCCTGACTTCTCAACACAATGGAAGCCACAGAACAGGGAAACAATAGCCTAAATATCCTTGGGAAAAGTAACTGCTGAACTATTATGTTGGTGCAAAAGTAATTGCCATTTTTGCCATTAAATGTCATGGCAAGAGATGCATTACTTTTGCACCAACCTAATAGAATGTTATACTTAGGAAAAATATATTTCAAGAGTGATGGACAAATAGGCATTTCGGACAAACAAAAACTGGGCTGGTCCCAGTAAGCCCTCAGTAAAACAGATTCCACACAAATGCACCCTCAGGCCAAAGGAAAATCTTCCTAAGGGACAATCTGGAATATGAGAAGGAATGAAGAATAAAGAAAACAAGTGGATACATCTATGTGAACATGAAATAACTTTGGGTTTTTTTTTAACAATCAGAATTAAAACAATAGGGTATAAAAATGGAATTAAAGTATTCTAAGGTCCTTGTATTGTCCTGTAATCAAAAGTGTAATATAATTTCTAGGGTAACCACTGAAAGTACAGAAGCAAAAGGTGAGGTTTATAAACTAGCAATGGAAGAAATTGAATGATTTTTTTAAAGAACAATTAAAACACCCCTAAGATGATAGACTTGTTTTTATTAATATATCAATAATTACAGAGCATGTAAGTGGACTAGTTAATTACATTAATTGTTCCAGTTAAGAGTTAAAGATGATCAGATTAAATTCCAAAACTCTAAATATATTAATCTTAACTATAAAGGTTCAGAAAAGTAAGGATAGTAATAGGGCACAAAAACCTACACCTTGTGAACACTGGGTAAAGGAAGATGGTGTAGCTATCCAGGTTGAGTATCCCTTATCCAAAATGCTTGGATCAGGAGTGTTTTGGATTTCAGATTTTTGAATACATGCATTATACTTCCCAGTTGAAAGTCTCAGATTTGAAAATCCAAAGTCTGAAATTCTCCAGTGAGCATTTCCTTTAAGCATCATGTGGGTGCTCAAAAAGTTTCAGATTTTGGAGCATTTCAGATTTTCAGATTTGATATGATAAACCTGTACTAATAGCAGTCAAAATGAAATGTAAGACAAAAAATATAACTAGACATAAAGAGGGCCATTCCACAAAAGATTCAGTTCCCCAGCAAGATAATAATTTTACATTTCTATTCATTAGCATGTTATAGAAAGTTGTATTACTGCTCTTTTAGAATTTGTCTAGCAGGCTTTCTGGTTTTTGCTGGAAAGCAACCTCTCCAACAAATAAAGTTGTAAAGTAGAAATTGACAACTAAAGATAAATTAAAAAATCTATAATCAGAGTGGGTTATTTTTAACACATCTCTCTCAGTAATTGATACAACAAACATTTTAAAAATCAGTAAAGGTATAAAGTACTTGGACAACACAATTTTTTTAAAAAAGGTCTTGTTCTAATTGACATATATTGAACATTGATGAAAATGCATTATTTTCAAGCACACCAGGAACATTTTAAAAAATTGTTCATATGGTAAGCCATAAAGCAAGTATCAACAGATTTGAATGCGTTCAAATCTTTCAGAGTATGTTATTGGACCACAGTGCAATTAAGCTAGAAATCAATAACAGATTGAAAATCCTCAACTGCTTGGAAATGAAGACTTACTTTCCTAAATAACCCATAAGTCTAAGAAGTATCACAGTAGAAATTAGAAAATATTTTTGACCAAACAATAATGAAAATACTATATTTTAAAACATGTATATGCAGCTAAAACAGACTTAGAGGGACATGCATTGCCTTAAATATTATATTATTAAAACAGGAAAGTCTAAAAAGTAGTAAACCAAGTGTTCATCTCAAGAAGTTTAAGAAAATAGCGAAGTAAACCTGAAGAAAGTAGGAAGGAAGGAATAAAGATAAGAACAGAAATTAATACAATATAAAATAAAAATTCAGTAGAATTAACAAAGCTAAACTTTTTTAAAGCAATTAAAATTGATAAACTTCTGGTGCAATTGATCAAGGAAAAAAGAAGAGGCACATTTATGATGATATCAGGTTGAAAAAAGAGCCATCAGTCACTATAGATGTTGTGAATGCTTGAAAGATAAAAAGATATTATTAACAATTTTTGCCAATACATTTGAAAATTTGGAAAAAAATACATTTTCAGAAAAATGTTACTTAAAAAATCAGATTCAAGAAGTAGAAAACTGGACTAGTCCTGTAACCACTAAAGAAATTGAATTACACATCCTAGCAGGAGAAGAAATATAACATGAACAAATGGATCGCTAAGCCCTGCCAGTGAAACAAAAGTATACAACAGTTATACTTGAGGTCTACCAGTTATACTTGAGGACGCCATTAATGCTGTAAGCAGCATCTTTGATGGTCATGATATTGAGGTTGTGTATCTATTCAGGCCTTCGAGGATGCATACCAATTTGTTGACTAGGCAAAAGCCACAGGGTGTCCTGACCAAATGTAGAAAACTCTTAAGAGTCTTTCAAAATAATAAATGCTCATTGACAACTATCAGCTAACAACATAAACATTTTTTACAACTATAAAGTTAAGAACACTTCCACTAGAAGTTGAGAAAACTGTGCTGTAGAACTGATTTCTCCTCGGAGAGGGATTTGTTCTACCTGTAATGATGTAGGAACTCCTACTGAAGTAATCCTACGTAATTCCCCCATGAGAGTAAGATCATGTAAGTTTCTCAAGGGAGCAATAATATAAACACAATAGAAAGATCCTGGGTTTTTAAGGAATTCAGTTTATTAAATTACTATAAAAACGAATAGTTTTGCAAATTTTCAGGATGTATTAGACAGCATCCTGGTAATCTATGATGCGGCATCCTTCAACTGTCAGTTCCATAACTATTCCAGGAAAGGAGTGAACTTTGCTGAGCAGCAAATGTGAAATCATGGAAACCTGGGAGAGAATGAAGGTGTCACCAGAGAAATGATCATAAAATGTTGAAAAGTGTGGTGAATTCTAACAATCCAGGAAGCATGGCAGAGTTGGCCTGGCCAACTCAGCCTGGCCACATCCCTCCCCTGTGGGGATGACCAATCTTGTTATTTTTCTCAGCAAGAGTCATTAGCTCATCATGCATTTGGTGCCCCAGAGAGCCACCTTCTTGCCCACAAGGTTGGGCCACCTCTGATTGTCCTTGATGCTGTATTCACACTAGACAAAGCATTTCAGCATTCTTATTTATTTATTTATTTATTT